ATGGAAAATTTAAATAAAGTGTACTTTGTTCCATACTAGAATTATCAAAGATTAAGTTTTCTTGTGTTGTATACAGTAACTGTTTTCCTGAAAAGATAGTCAATCTTCATAATTTAAATGTTCTTAATTACTTTAAGTGACCATTATATAAGATGAATATCTAATCCAAATTTCCATAAAGGATACTCTTACATAACAAAGTAGTATGTTCTAAGCAATTTATGCAGCATGAATACCTGTATTATATACATCTGACTAAAGTCCTTGAGTCCCTGACTCTCCCACCAACATAACAAAAGCAAAAATTACCCAAACATGGAAATCACGTGCTTTTCCTGATGGCATAGACAAGGAGTTAAATTTTTTGTTTTTATTTTTTAAAGACAGTCTCACTAAGTCACCTAGGTTGACCTTGAACTCTCAATTTTCCTGCCTTACCCTCCTGAGTAGCTGAGATTACAGGCATGTAACACTGCACCCAGCTAAGGGGTTAAACTTTTAAATTAACATTCATGCATGTGAAAAATCATGAATATAGTTATATTTCATTTCATCATAAAAATACTTTTATTTTTCAGAATATATGTAAGAAATTTTTAAGTATGAGATTAGAGATATAACTTTAATGTTATTAAATTGCCCCCAATGTTCAGACTAGGCTACAGACAGTGGTTACTACCATTTCAAGATTATACTCTTACAAATGTAATTTTTAAAAATATACAACAACCTTCAGTTATTTTGAAGTATAGTGCAAATGAAGACATTCTTTGGGTCATGATTTCAAAACATTATTTTCAACATTATACTTCCTTTCTCTGTTCATAATCTGAATAACAAAATATAGTACTGGAAGAAAGCACATCTTCTAATAGTTGAACAGTTATATCTACTGAGAACAAATGACAGAAGAATGATTCAGTAACAATATTCTCTTGTCTGAAAACATGTATACTTAAATAAATATTTTATGGAAACAAATCCATGTCTTTTAGTGTTGTTTCAGCTTGATCTCAAACACAAAACATTTACACAAAGATCACCTACCTGCTCACTATATCAGCCATGTTGCCTTAAGGATAAGGTACAGCATGGAAGAGACGTGCCTGGAAGCAAACTAGTAACACTTAACATGTTATATACAGAATTAAGAGTTCCATAAATCCAGCAAATGCCTTGAAAATATGTCGGGCTTTTATTGTAAAGTATTACTCTCTCCCAGCCAGCAATTAAAAAACTCTTCTGTGATAGGGTATACTCCACAGTGGATACAGCAGCAAGAGGTGATCTTCAACTGCTATCTAATGCTGCCCGAGGCATTTATCCTTTTATTTGTGGTTACTGGCATCAAATTTCCATTAGTGCCATTTGTAGTATTAGTGGCTGAGCCATTCACAACAATATAGTCGACTTTGTTCTCCAGCTTCACCAAGCGTTGCAAAATGTCATCCAAAAGGACAGCAATTGTTCTTTTCAGATCAGCTGGGGGAAAAATCAGAATGCTAAGTATCAGGAGGGCACTTAATATTTGTGTTTTTATAGTTTGAAAGAAAATAGTAAATAATTATCAAGTCATCTGAGAGAAAATATACAGAGAATATATACTCAAACCACAAGTAGGGAAAGCCTATTTTACGTGGAGTTTTTTTTCCTGTTGTTTTCTTTGCTTTTCTTTCCTGCAGGGGTGCCTTTTTCAATCAGTGTTTAATACGGTTTCCAAAAGGAATGTGAGCTTTGTAAATATCTGGGAACTCACTTTTGTAGTGAACAGAACAGATTTAAAGGCTGGTTCAAAAATATTAGTCCCTCTGTAAGGAATATATTCACTTTGAGTTTCTTAAAGCAGTTTGAAAAACATATTGTGGACTAGGCAGGAAAGGTGAAAAGGTAGCCAGGAGGTGCACTGAAATATAGGAAACAGAACTTGGGCCTCCACAGACTGCAGTGCAGGCCAGACTTGGGTTCAAAGCAAACACCAGGAGTATGGTCAGTGCACTGGGCAGCATCTAGCAGCTTGGACTTCAATTTCTTCCAGAGAAAAGATGGGAAAGATTGTATCCCTAAGTTCATTGGAAGGTTAAGGTTTCAGTAGAATTTACCTGAGAAGAATAAAATGATGATTTTTTTTTTATAAAATTCTCTTTTCTGAGATTTACCAAAGGCATTAATAGATATTAGGTACTCAATATTAGGGCCAGGGATTTAGCTCAGTGGTTCCGGCACCTGCCTCCCAAGCACAAGGTCCGGAGTTCGATCTCCGGTAAGAAAAAAAAAAAAAAAAAGGTACTGAATATTAGCAATATTGTTTGTTTTGTCTTGAGTAGGGTCTTACTAAATAGCCCAGATTGTCCTTGAACTTGCTATGTAGTGCAGCCTGGCCTCAAACATCCAATCCTCCTGCCTCAGCGTCCTGCATAATACTGGTCCTTTGTTTTTGTATTAATTTTTCTTTTTTTTTTTTAATCTCAGACCAAAAAGGCAGCCTAATCTGAGATCACCAGTGAAAAATCATTTAATGTCAACAGATAAATTTGCCAATGGTTCTATCATTAAAATATCACAAAAAGAATGAACCACAAAAGAAAAAAACAAACTGAACTTCATCAAAATTTAAAACTCTGGGGTCAGTATGGTGGCACATAACCATAATCTCAGCACTCTGGAATGCTGAGGCAGGAGGATCACAAGTTACAGCCCAACATGAACAACTTAGCAAGACCTTGTCTCAAAATCAATAAAAAGGGGTATGGATGTAGCTCAGCGGTAGAGACCCCCTGGGTTTAATCCTCAGTACAACAAACACATAAAAATAAATTTGAAATATAGTAAAGACTACAGTAACCAGGGAAATGTCCAAACTAAATGTCCTCAATGCCCATGTGCTTCCCAAGCTGCATCTGAAACTACATCCTTGCTTGAGGTGTGCCACCCTCAGCAAGGTGGTCAGGACAGACCTCATGAAACAGAAGGACCTAACACCCCCACCCTGATTTAGACTTGCTAATGCTGCCTCACAACCTCCACTAAAGCCCATACAAGGAGCCAATCCTTAAGGACTGAAGAAAAACTATCCATCCTCTAGGAAAATAAAGTGGAAATTATACTTTTTTTGAGAAAAGGTCTCACTATATAGTTCAGAGTGGACTTGAACTCATTATGTAGCCCAGGTTGGCCTCAAACTCATTGAGATCCTCCTGTCTCAGACTCTCGAGTGCTAAGATTACAGGAATGAGCACTATGCCTGCCAGAAATTATACTTTTTGTTAAAAAAAAAAAAAAAGGAGCAAAGGACTTGAACAGATATTTCTTACATAAGGGATGGAAAAGCAAACAAGCATGAAAAAAGATATTTGTAGTTTATAGGAAACTACAAATCAAAGCCACAATAAGATACTACTTGACACCTATTAGAATGGCTATAATCAAAGAAATGAGGTGTTGGTGAGGGATATGAAGAATTTGAAAACCTCTTACATTACTGGTGGGAACATGAAATGGTGCAATTACTGTAGAAAATGGTTTGTCAATTTTTCAAAAAGTTAAACATAAAGTTACCTTGATCCAGGAACTCCATTCCTAGATATAAACCCTCAAAGACAAGAAATACCAAAGTTCTTATTTGTGAAGTTTTATTCATAATAGCCAAAAGGTGTACACAACCCACGTGTCCATCAAAAGATAAATGGATAAACAAAATGTGTTATATACATACAACAGAGTATTATTCAGCCATAAAAAAAACGAATAATATTCTGGATCAATGCTATGGGTGAATCTTGAAGATAATACGCAAAACAAAATACATAAAACCCAGACACAAAGCTCAAATATTGTATGGGTCTACTTACATGGAATATTTAAAACAGGCAAATTCAGAGACAGAAAGTAGATGAAAGGTTACCAAGGACAACAAAGAGAGGAATGAAGAGTTATTTTTTCTTTGGGCTAATCAAGGAATTGCCCCTCTCCTCCAAAGTACTGCTTAGTCGTCAGAGAGTTTCTTGTTTGGAGTGATTCAAGTTTTGAAAAGAAATACGGATGGTTCCACAACATTGTGAATATGATTAATATCAGTGAATTCTAACCTTAAAAATGGTTAGGTAGAGCCCGATGTGGTGGCGCATCCCTATAATCCCAGCATTTGGGAGGCTGAGGCAGGAGGATCCCAAGCGAATTCAAGGCCTCAAGGCCGGCCTGGGCTACAGAGGAGTTCAAGGCCAGTCTAAACTATGTACAGGGACCCTGATGTGTATGTCCCCTGGAGGTTGAATCCAGGTCCTCACCCAGGGCTACAACCCAGCCTTTAAAATTTTTCTAGATTTGAAAGTTTTCAAAATAAGAGATGGAGAAAGGAGAATTTCTTAAGATTTTTCAATCAAGAGTTGTAGGAGTTAAAAAAAAAAAAGTTGTAGGAGTATCTGATAAGACTAAAAGATAAATATTAGACCTCTGTTTTCCCTGGCAGCCCTTTAAAATATCTGGAGGAGGAGAATATGGGGTGGGAGTCAGGATTACGAGAACACTTAACAGTGAAGTTAAATCCCTAGGAGGTTTGATATGAATTGTGAAGATACAGTTTAATCATTGATTAGGGTTAGAAATAGCAATTAAAGGAAAAGGTAGGATGAATGAGAAATGACTATTTATTTTATAGTACTTGTGATTAATATCATGCATGCTAGTCAAGTGCTCTACCACTGAGCTATATCCCCAACGCTTTTAATTATTTTTTCATTCTGAGACTTAAGTCTTATTAAATTGCCAGGTTGTCCTCAACTTTATAATCCTCCTGCCTGAGCCTCCTGAGTAGCTGGGCTTACAGCCAATGTACCACCATACAGCTTTGATAACTTTAAAAATATTGCTGTATTCTATTTATTAATATTTTCCTAGTGAGTTTCTCATCTATATTCAGCAGAGATACTATAGGTTTTATTAGAGAAAGAGAGGGGAAGGGAACGGGGGTAAGGAAATCCCCAAGATGATAAAAGATTGAGATCCTAGAACAATTCACTACTGTAGGCCTAGGCAGCAAAGGGTTTAGGCCAGAGCCTCTCAGAAAGCTCCAGGAAAGAGGTCTACAAAATAAAGTAATAAAATAACCTTATGTGTCTGAATATATGAGGATATTTAAATAACTAGGGGGTTAAGTGGTTCCGCTGCCTGCCTCTCAAGTACAAGAACCCGAGTTCGATCCCCAGTTCCAAAAAAAACTATGGGGAGATGGAATAGAAAACTAGGTAAAGGAAAAAAATGTATACCTATTAATTCTAGGGAAAATAAGTTGCACAGGAAAGGAAATACAGTAATGTACTACATGGCTCATTAATGAATACTATTTACTAGCAATATAATTTTTTTTGGTACCAGGGATCAAACTGGGGACCTTGTGTGCTTGCAAGGCAGGCAGCGGTACAACTGAGCTAAATCCCCAGCCCCTAGCAATACTATTAATAGCAAATATTGACTATTATTCTGTTTATTCAGAGAATATTATTCTGTGTTTATTCAGAGAATATTATTCTGTGTCTCTTCACAGCATATTATTCTGTGTTTATTCACAGCATATTATTCTGTAAAGGCAACCTTGTGGGGGCAGAAGGCATTTTTGGATAAAAAAGAAAGCTAAACCCTCATTCTGAACAGTAGGAAGTTATGAGATGAAAGAATTTTAAACGAGCAGCTCTAAAGAATAGGAAATCTAAGGACTGTTAGGAGTGGGAAGTACTCCTCTTTTCATTACAAGAATCAATGCATTTGAATTGTTTAAATGCACACATGTACAACTTATAAACATTAGACTAGAGAAAATGTCCACACAATCATGTACAGACATAGTGTTCTAGAAAGAACCATCCTGTTCTCCCTGTCCCTCTCCCTCCCTCTATCTGACATCTTAAATGGACGAGAGAACATGCCATATACATAAAACACAACAGGGCTCAGGATCTGCAAGGGACAGTGGCCATAAACAAGGCTGGAGATCCAGACAACTCCTATTTCTTGGGAATAACAGAGGCTGTACAATTGATGGTTTATACTGGGACAATCAAGAGAAATTTAACTATAAACTAGATATAAAAATAGCATAGTGAGCCAAGCGTGGTGGCACATGCCTATAATTCCAGCACTCAGGAGGCTGAGGCAGAAGGATCACTGTGAGTTCGAGGCTAGCATGGGTTACATAGTGAGTTCAAGGCCAGCATGAACTGCATAGCAAGACCCTGTCTCAAAATTTAAAAAAAGAACATCATGTTACACAGAAAAAGAGCATTTAAAATACACACACACACACACACACACACACACATATATATGCACATATATTTTTGTTTTTGTTTTCTTTTTGGTACCGAGGATCAAACTCAAAACCACTGAGCTAAATCCCTGGCCCCAACACATATATTTTTTAAAAAGATATAAATCCAGTAATGAAATGTCACAATTTATAAAATGTAGTTTAATCTTCAATAATTTACATAAAACAAATATTGCAGAATGTTAGTAATTATTAAATCTGGGTGATGAATATATGAGCATCATATTTCTATTTTTTAGTATAATTAAAAGCATTTATAATAAAAAGTTAAGAAAACCTTACTTTGTAAAGACCCATACATGAAGTAGAGTTCAATCTCTGTAACTATTTTTAAATGAATATTAAGAAGACTAGGAATATTTTAGGGTTATCTTACCATATCCTGCCATAGAAGCACCATTCTCAACATCCACTGTGTTCTTATTTTCCTCTGCAAGAGCTTTCACATATCTTTTGCTTAAATCTAGTATTTGTTCACGTAACTTGACACTGCTTTGATGTCTTGGTTGCTGGAAAGTATAGTGCAGTAACATCACTCCCCAAATGAGTCCAAACACAAGCAATAATAAACTCAATTTCTGGGACATATTTTTTCTTGAGATTGTAAAAAACATTTCTGATGAAATAAACAAGTTTGATTGTAAAGCAGTAACTGGAGACAAGCTCCCAAACAAAACTTTTGAAGGAAAAAAGAAAAAACTTCTCTAATATATGTTCTTCATCTTTGGCAAGGTTGCTCCACTCTTACATTAACTCTATAAAATTGAGAAGAAAAAAGGTAGTTAGACCTAACCTGTATTGGTAACAGAATAATGATAAAAAAGAGATTCTATAGTTTTGATTTGGAACTGTATTATCTTCCTTGACAATTTTCTCCACTAGGTAAGGTTTTGGTCTTCTATCAGTTTGGTCTATGTAACTTTTCAAAATTTAACTACAGAAATGAATGTCAATTCATTGAAAATATCTGAAAAAAATCCCACCATGGTGATAAAACTGACTTCTCAGTTTAACTAAAATCATAGTCGACATATAATGGATTTACAGAAGATCTCAGTTTGTTCAAATATACCACCAACCTAAACACCTGAAAGCTATTCCTATAAAACAAAAAGTGAATTCCAAAATAAAAGTCAGAAATAAGGACAAAACATACTAGAAAATCAAAATGCCTAACAAGAATTTCCACAAGGCAAGCAAAGTACCAACATACGAAAATGTCACCAGAAGGCATTACTAACAGAAATGAGGTAACCCTAGAAAATATCCAGCCTAAGATGAACAATAAATTACCATTTTTAAGTTAATATCTTTTAAAATGATAGTAAATATAATACTGATTGTTTACTGACAAGTCTTAAAACAGGTTAAGATATTTTTCTATATTTCCAAATGTATAACTCCATATTTTAAATGCATTTTATATAAAGGAAAAGATTTAAAGATTATACATCAACACTGTGTGTACACATGTATGTGCATGTGTGGTGCTGGCATTAAACCCAGGGCCTCCTGACCAGCAGGCAAGCTGTCTACCACTAAATTACATCCCCAGCCCTTGAAAGTAATGTTGAATATTATACAAAATATCAAAATACAAAAAACATACAAAGATGTTCTATTAGATGTGTGGATTAAAGCATGTAGAAAGGGGAGAATTTTCAGTCCTGCTAATTCACCTGTCCTGCTCAGAAAACTCCCAATCTGCCACTTGGTCACCCCACAGTCCCTGACAGACCTTTAATTAAATTCTGGGGCTCCAAGGCTTAAACATCTATTCGTTTTGGTTGAACTGTACTATCTTGTGAAATCTCACAAGCATGACCATATCACTAATGAGTATATTACTGTAGTAAACTAAATGTACTGAAAATTAGAAATTAACTTTTTTCAAATTTCCTTATCTCTTAACATTGCCAGAAAAAGATCCCTTTGGATCTTGCTTTAAAATACCATTAATATCAATACTGAATTATTAAACTTTGCTTTATTAGCAAAAAGAGGTAACATCTTTTCTATTGAGACTTTACATTCTAGCTCAGAAAGCAGAGGTTATAGATTTCCAAGAAAAAAATTTTAATGCTTTACATATTTACACTGAATTTATCCTTCATAAATCTTTCATAGGCGTTGTCTTCAAGTATAACTTGTGTGTTACACTTGTGTGTTGCTCCTATTCTACCACCCAGTGGAAGGATCGACTGGGAACCTGTCCTGAAGCAGTCAAAGTGGCATGACTACCAAGGCAGAAAAGTGGTATCACTAAGATTGGAGAACATAGCCTTTAGATATTTTTGTAAATAGAGGTTAAAATATGGGGGGGGGGTGCACAAGTACAAAGAGGGTAGGTATTTGAATTAAATGTCACCTTATATTAATTAAACTCATTTTATGCTCACAACACCGACATTAATACATTCTCACTTAACAGGTAAGAAAACTGCGGTAAAGAGAAGTTAACTAGGAATCAGCCCTCTGCAGACAGGCAGGTCTGCGGTGCGTACCAAGGTCACAAGTCACGTGGAGCACTGGACACACCCCCACCCCACCCCACCGCCACTCCTCTGGCCTCTTCTCTGTACAGCCACCTGGTTTCACACTACACAGACGCAGAGGAGGGCCGGGGATTTAGCTCAGTGGTTCCAGCCCTGCCTCACAAGCACAAGGTCCCAAGTTCCATCCCCGGTGCCAAAAAAAAGACGCAGAGGACACCAACCACCAGAGCACTGTACTGGGTAAGTTGGAGTCATCTTTACCTCCCATCAGGACCCGGACTATCTTCAGGGGAAGGGCAGCTGGAACCTGCAGTACAACACTGCAGAGTTAAACCCTACAGGAGGACAGGGAGCTCAACTTGGGACTTGCAGCCAGAAATCTGCCTGAATCTCACGGGTCTGCGACTGGCTTGCTAAGACTCATTGACTTATATCTGCACACTGCTACCCACGGTGTCTATTGTGACAGCAGAGACATACCCTGAAAGAGGCCCTTCATCTTCATGGTTATTTTTTATTCTCAAAATTAGTATTATTAGTTTGGGTTTTTTTCTCTTTTCTTTTCCTTTGCTCCTCTTATCTTTAATTTTTTTTCCTACTCTTTGCAAATATTTGTTTGATTCTCCTTTTTTTTTCTTCTTCTTTCTTTTCTCTTTCCTTTCTCTCTCTCTTGCACTCACTCTCTTGCTCTCCCACATTGTTCATCTTCCCTTTTTATCCCTGTTTTGGTTCTTATATGGAGTTCTTTACTTTCCTATTATTCTCTTTTTTCTTCTCACCTGTGTCCTCTGGCCACACTGCTAACCATCCCCTATCCTTCCCATCTGTCCCTCCCTCCCCAACCCCTTCTAACTCCCCATCCCAAAGGGTAAAGTTGTTATATTGAAGAGTTTATTCACTATATGTTGGGTTGGTCCTCAATCTTGATTTAATTCACACAGCTAAAGGTGATAGATTAATAACTACCACAAAAT